CCCTCTCAGGGTGTCTCTGGCCACCCCTCCCCCCACTCTGCTCCAACCTCTCTCCCACGTCGCTGTCTGTCTCTGTACCTCCCCTTCTCCGTCTCTGTCCCTTCTCCGTCTCCGTCTCTTTCTGTCTGAATGCCCCTCCCCGCCTGTGAGTCTGCCCGGGCGTCTGTCCTTGTCTCGCCGTGTTTCTGTCTGCGGGCCCCTCTCCTTTCCCAGTGAGTGGCAGGGCGGCCAGGCGGGGCTGGAATTAGACCAGCAACTGGGAAGCCACCTGCCGCTATCTCTTTTCTCTGCTCGGGGCCTCCCTCTGGGCGCGGGCGGATTTTCACGGCCCTCCGGAGAAGGGGCCCCCGTAGTTGAAGCCCTGAACTGGGCCTGGGCTGGAGCGCTGTGGCCATCAAGTAAGTCACAGGCAGGCAGGTGTCCTGGCTGGGGTGGGCGCTCCCTGGGGGGGAGGCAGAGGCCCAGTGGTGCCCAAATACAAGACAGGCAGGACTCATAGGGGGTGCTCTGGGCTCTGTCCCCCGTGCTCCACGACGGCTCCAGATTCAGCCCGAGTCCTGCGAGCAGGGCGGGCGCTCAGGCCTCAGGGCGTGAGTGGCAGGGACCCTGCAGAGGCGCAGCGCCCCTCACCTGTGAAAGGGGACACCTCCTTTTGGGGGAGTGTCTTCGGTCTCGGTCCATCCTCTCATCCTTTCTGTCTCACCTCTGACCCCAGCCCCACTCTTGCATCTTCCAGATGAGGAAACTGAGGCAGCCTAAGGCGGGGAGGCCCTGCCCCAGCTGAGGCCCGGGCGTGGGCCTGAGTCAGGGGCCGTCCTCCCCGAGGGTCTCGGAGGCCCCGGGCCAGCCCCGCGTTCCCAGAGGAGAACAGGGGACCCACGCGTTCACCTGCCNCTGAGGGACCCCTCCAGGGCCATTGTCTGGGAGCAGCGTGTGGCCCCGGGCATGTGGGAGGAGGAGTGGATATTCCCTGACTGAGCTGGGCTGGGTTCAGGGCAGGAAAGGGGGAGCCTCGGAGGAGCCCCCCCCATGATGGGGCCCAGCCGGGTAAGGAGCCAGGAGGGCACCAGGGCTGTGGGTCTCCCCTCTCCCTGCAGATCACCAGATTGGCAGCAAATATCCATCAGTCACTGTTGTCTCCCCTCTGCTT